AGAAGTGTACTTCTTCTTGCAGTTTTCACTCTTCACAATTCTCACGAGGGTATGTTTCCGCATATCACCCGAGAGTCGTTCCGGTGGGGGTCCACATGAGGCCTCCGGCGGGTGCGAACAGATGGCCCCGGCTGCACTACCATCTGTTCGCACCCGCCGGAGGTCTCATGTGGACCCCCCTGGACAACTCTCGGGTGATATGCGGAAACATACGCTCGTGACAATTGTGAAGAGTGAACATTGCAAGAAGAAGTACCCTTCTAGGCAGTGCCATGTGTGCACAGTACACAAGAAGAAGAGTAGGACTGTGTACATCTGCAACTTCTGCGTGATGCTTCTTCACAAAGGGGAATGTTTCCAGAGAATCACACGCACAAGCACTTCTAGGAGCTCTGGTAAGTATTCTCCAAAAATTTTAGTTCATAAAATTAATTAGGAGATTTTATATTAATTTTTAAAGTGAACAGTGCACAAGTTAGGGTGCTAGGCTTAAAAACCCCGGTCCCCAGGGTGATTTAAATATTTAAACAACCAGTCCGCAATGTGTTAAAAATACTTGTAATATAAATTATAAACATCATTATCTGTATTAAATTCTATTATTCTTTTCATGTCAAGTTTTAAACTATATTTGAACTACATTTAAATTAAAGTGTATTTGTTAGTATAAAAACTCTTATGAGGACAATCTGGATCCATATTGAATGATGACGTAATTCAAGACGTAGTACCAGTATTCTTGTACACCTGAAGATGACCCAAGAAAATGGTTGAAACATGTAGCATTACCACCAACAGCTAACAAATCATATTTTGATACAATAGTATCTATTTTGTCTTTTTCAGAATTGTTGTTGTGTAGACTATCCGATTATATATCTTTCGCATGACACAACAGGATGCACGCTATGAAGGTTATTGACTTGATAATTTGAATTGAACATTGAATGGGACTTCCACTATATCTGGCTATAATTTAACTATAATATCTTATGGTGTAGAGATGTGTGTCTTAAATATAATCTAAAATAAATAGTTTTTGTGGTACTTCCCAAATTTGAATCTGAGTATGGAAGCTATTTTACAAATAATTGCTTTTTACCAAGTACCTTGACATATTCTTTAATGATCCTGATATAATCTCTAAGACAGTTTGGCCCTCTTGTTGCAGCGGTAACTAGATGTTTGATTTCATGTTCCCTGAAAAATAAAACAAATTCAATACATGGGAATTCAATTCTCTTTTCAGTGCTATTTTGCACTCAGTATTGTAACTAGGCTATGGGCTGGATGACTGGGGAATGAAAGTTCGATTTTCACCAGGCAAGAAATTTCTTTAATGACACTAACATAAAAAGACAGGACTTGGCTAAATATTAGCAGTCAAGAAGCATATATCTAGGAACTGTGTTTCAGTCTAATTTAGCAATGAAGAACTGTACGTAAATGCATACTATGTAACATAAAATTCATATAATATTAAAACTGACATACCTTACAGAACCAAACAGATTTTCAGCAGACACATCAGCAGGTGAAATATCTTCCCACATGTCTATGTTAACATTTATACGAAACCATGCATGAATGTTCAAGTCTGCTACCTCAAATGATACACTGAAAATAAAACAATAAGAACAGAACGCTGAGATAGCTGCATACATATATGAACATGAAATATATTTTCACATTTATCATCCTTATATAGACCCAACCTGAAGTGATGATGCATCTTGAATTTATGTGGTGCCCTAATGGTGTAGTTCAGGATGGCTGAGTGTTCCAGAATTTAAATTACACTGCATATTAGTTTTGGATTATGTCCAGTTTCTATTTCTAATTAATCCACAATTATACAGTGTCATATATTGATGTCAGTTATGTAAAGCCAAGTTTTAAAATTTTAATCTCTCTTACACGCACCTACAGTAAACTATAAAATCTTTCTGTACAGTGCAGTTTTGTGCACTGTTGCAGGTCCCCATTAAGCAGTATGGTGACAGGAGGAACCTAAATAGCTTTACATCCTTCTACACCTACAGAAAGCTACAAACTTATCCTTTACACTAAAAAAAAACACCCCAAGTGAAACTTCTACCAACTACACAATGGAAGGTATGAAGTTCACTGTAGTCCAATACAAGATTCTGTTACCCAGCAGTATAAATTACAGTTATGTAAAGTGAAGCTATCCCTGTCACAGGCCATGGAGGCACACAGGCTTGTGAAACGTCGAGGCTCCCACATTTTCTAAACAATCAGCTCACAGATGGCAGTGAGGTTGTCAGTCTTTATGTGCCAGCCAGCCACCCTTTAACCCCAGGAAGATTCCTGGTACTCATTTCTATTAGAGGCTGAGTCAGTCCCAAGGCCATAGTGCAGCTGGAAGGATTAGATCAATGAAAAATCCTGCAACATCATGAATTGAACCCACAGCCTTCCGGCTTGTAGCATAGTGCCCCTAAATTGCAGTTACATATACAATTAAATACATTTCACAAATTACTTGTAGCTAAATCTTACCAATCTGCTGGTGCATGGACACAGTTATATTTAAATTCTTCAGAACTCAGCAATCCCCCCCTAGAGTAGGTTATGACCCACAGTTTGAGAAAGCATGACCTAAAGCAGGGGTCTCCAAACTTTTCGAAACGCAGGCCACATTAGGTAATTCAGCACTTTCAACGGTCCAGATAAAATGAGAAATTAATAACTCTAGGTAT